CTTCAACTCGGGCTTTCAATTGAAGGCCCGAGTTGTAGACCCGAGTTTGTAGCAGCGATGTCAGACAAGATATGAATGTTTTTTTGGGCTCAAATGAAAGAGCGGGTCGAGAAATGGCTTGCTAGGGCCTCTAAAGATGGTTTTGAACCAGGGAAGACTCCTAGACCCCACTGGACAATGTTGTCACAATTGCGCTTTTCAATTGAAAACAGATATCATCTTTAGAGACAATTGTCATCTTTAAAGACTTCTGCACGCCATTTTTCGAGCCGCTCTTTCATTTGACCCAAAAAAAACATGGCCGTGACTATTCGCACAATTGCGTGAGTCACTCCCGTACACTCCATACACTCGACGCATGCGTGAAGTTTGTGTGTTTCACTGCTAAAACTTCAACTGCGTGAAACACACAGGCGCATAAAAATACAACTGCGTGAAACACACAGGNTGCGTGAAACACACAGTAGTATGAAACTTCAACTGCGTGAAATACACAGCAGTATGAAAACTCGGCTGCGTGAAACACACAAACTTCACGCATGCGTGGAGTGTATGGAGTGTACGGGAGTGATTCACGCAATGGTGCGAATAGTCACGGCCTTTTTTTTCAATTTTCATTGAACAGTTCACAATTGCTTTAATTATATAATTTCATTATCTTAATGTTGATCAAGATTGAATGAAATCGAAAGTACATGACGTGATGAAAAAAGCATGAGAAATCTTTTGCTGAGATAATAAAAGACATAAATGTTAGGGAAGGTGGGAAATTGCCAAATAATTAGGAAATGAAACAAGTATTCAAGTTGGTATTGACTTGATAATAGTTAGCTCGAGACAAGTGGATGAGTAGCCAGCACAGTTGCATCGATTTCTTGGCATAAAATAAAACGGCGCAGAAGAGAAGACATAAATCCTACCGCGTAAGCTAGTCAAAAGTTTGTCCATTCTCCAGCCTATCACCCAATACTTATATATACTATGAAAACTTTGGGTGGCA